CAGGGCTGTCCCTGGTCACCGCGAAGCCTCGGGCGGGGCCGTGAGCGATTTCCCGCCTGGGCCCGGCAACGGCCGAGGTCCTCTCGACGCCCTCGGGGTCTGCCCACGGCTTTTCCCGCTCATTTTAGCACCATCCCAGGTGTCCACCTTGGTGTCCTGCTGTTGCACTGCACTGTGATCCACAGAGGAGGCAGTTTTCCCTACTGTGCACTATCAATTCGTAATTAAAAAAAGGAAAACAGCACAGGGAAGGACGACAAGCTGGTACCTTCTTCCCTTCCTTCACCAAAATCACAGGCTGTAAATGAACAGCACAAGGCCCTTAACATCTCCAGGAATAGGCCAAAGGACCTGTAGGCCCTGTAACACTAAGTACAGTAACATAATGAAACTCCCAATTCCCTTCTGTGTTTATTCACTTACAGTGTAACCCCAGCCCACAGAAACAGGTGAAACTTCACTCTTCTCACCTGATGACTGCAGCATTCCAAGTGCTTTACCAAGAGGCTGGAGGGTTTTAATGCACAAACACCCCTAAACCCCTGCTTTCCTTATTTTGCAATCTTATGGTTATTTCCTCATAGCATTTTTGCTTTGTATTAAATTGATAATTTTGAAACCTCTGAGTAGCCCTGGAACACAAGAGGGGAAAAACCCTCCCTCCTTGTTACTAAAAGTAAAAAAAAAAAACCAAAACCATTAGGATCTGCCAAGGGACACACAGCCCCAGGCAATGGCTACTGCTCTCAGACCTGCTGTGTGGGGCACATGTCATTTGACTCGCAAGGGGCTACAACATCGCAAATACAATAGAAATCAAAGTAATTCTGCAAAGGCTTTTGCAAAATTCAGACTCTATGTTTGGTGAAGAAAAAGTGCTGGCTTCTCAAAAGCAGTGTCTGAGCAACAGCATGAAAGAACAATAATCCTTTTCCATCTGAGCGCAGGATGAAGGGCCCAATCGTAAGCGTGCCACTTCCTACAAAGATTGATCACCGCCAGTAATTGCTTGATTCACGCATCCCCCATGACCCAGAAAGGCATTAATCTTGCTGCCATTTCGGCGCTCCCTACACACAGAGAAGGGGCAGGCAGCAGCCAGTCTGCATCTCAGAGCTCTGCAACCAAAACGTGCACGGCGGCCTCAGGCCGTGCTGCTCGCTCCTGTCTCGGTTTGGCAGGGTTTGAGCAGCCTCAGCTTTTTCATTTTAATATCATATCACAGAAAGAGGGACAATTATCAGACCTACTACCTTCAGTATGAAGAATAATAATCTCTATGCCACCAGTGAATCCCAAGGGTTTTGAAAGCACATGATCAGCTGCTCTGTGCAGTACACAGCGGGAATGCTGAACATTTTACACCAAGTGCTAAAGCTTCCTTACAACCTCACTAACAGCACTAGCTGGGTACCTGAAAAGCAACAGAAGACACACACTGCACACAACTGAGGCATTAAAAATGACAGTAGGTTCTTCCAGATTTGTTGAAATTGTCTTATACAAAATGTTACTTTCCAAAAGTGAAAAATAACAAAAGATGACAAGCTCCACAGTAGAGCACTGGAACATTTTAGGATTATTAAGGTGACGGAAGGGGATTACTCTTTATTGAGAAGGAAACAAACTTTACAATGACAAAGCATCACAGCTCTGTTTTACACTTGAGGGAAAATAAAGCCAGTATTTCGCTGTGCATTCTTTCCACACATTCAAAAGACTTACTTTTAAAATGTATGGATCTTGGTCTGAAGAACAACAGCCACCAAACTCTGAAAAACAGCCCAGGAGGCAGCAGGCCTGCCAGTATTTTGCTGTGCATTCTTTCCACACATTCAAAGACTTATTTTTAAAGTGTATGGATCTTGGTCTGAAGAACAACAGCCACCAAACTCTGAAAAACAGCCCAGGAGGCAGCAGGCCTGCTGACGGACTGCAGGACATAACCTGCCTGAGTACTGGATTGACTGCCAGGGGTTTTTTTTGCCAAACAGAAAACACAGTGCTAAGTCATCCCTGACAAAAATTATGCGTTGTTAGCAAGAATGTGAAAACATTTACAATATACTTTGCATACAAAGACATCTTCACCCAGAACCATCACTGTACATGGTACAGCACAACACAGAATAGGAAGAACACTGTCTGGAACAGAGAATGCAGGTGGCAAACGGCCTTTTGGTTTCAGATCCTGTCTCCATCGTTAAAAGAGCACTTCCTGCAGTGGAACACAAAGACTGTACAGCCACACACACTGAATAAAATGGATAAAAAGTGACGCTCCCACATCTTTCTTTTTTTTTTTAAAAAAAAAACCCTTTAAGAAAATTTTATTAATAATGGCACTGAGATCACTGAGATCTTTCTATGTCAACCAAATTCCACAGAACTGGCACCACAGTATCACGTCTTCATCCACATTTGAGGCCACTGAATTGTTGCCAGTGACATGTAGACGTGTAGCAACAAAATTCAGCTTAGTAACTTTTCCTTGCTGGATGCAGCAAAGGAAGATTGCATTTGCATGCTTCAGCACTCAAACTTAACCACAAAGCAGAAGTTTTCCTTCATCCCAGTTAGTCATTTTGCGTTATGCAAACATACCCAGAACAACTGCGCCACACAGCCTTTCCTCACAGTGGGAATAGAGCAGCCACCAGTATTACTCCATTTCCTTCACTGCGCCACTTAAACCCTGTTGTCTTCGCTGCTTTCTCTCAAGATAGCGAGCTCGGGCATCCAGTATTGATTTATCATCATTCCTTTTCTCCATCTTCTTTGCAGAGTTGTCTGTGACTTGTTCTGGGGGAAAAGGAGAGACAGAAATATGCTCTTCTGTGTCAAAAAAACCCCAGCATTACAATGCCTTCTATATGCAAAACACCCAAAAAAACCCAACAGAATCTCAAATGTTTTTCAAGTCCCAGTCAGTCCCTTGAATGACTTCCAAAGAGGACAGACTGTACCACTGCAGGGAGTAAAAAACAAAAATCATTTTTAAAAAATCATGCCTTAACTCCTATGTCAATATTTGCAGCTGGGCTCATCCCATCCCCAAATGCATATCTTGTTTTTTTTATTGTAACAGATACTATGCACCTTGTGTTCTATGCAGCCACTTCTTCTCTAAATTACACACATGGAACTCAGGTTTAGGCAGGAGACAGCCAGCACTGGGATCAGGAAAAAAAAATATCTTACAATAAACTAACTTTCTAAATTTCTAAAGACAGGAGGAAGAGGGAGGATAACACAGATAAAAGGGTGGGAAAAGTCAATACTCCAGTCAGACACCATTAGAAAACACATTCTCCCACTGAGCTGAGACCTTGGGAGTTCTTCTCCCAGAAGGAAAGAAAATCAGGAAGTATTTTCAGTTTAAAGTAACATTTGAAATAATAATAGTAAAAAAAAAAAATCTTTCAAAGACTCTGACAGCCTAAGTATTACGTGAAGCAGCTACTGCAGCCCGTTCCTAGGGCTCCAGGGGTGGGCACCAGATTCTCCGATATGAGAAAGGAGCTTTAATCGGCATTTGATCTTGGAATATGTAGAATTATTCTGTCCTGAAGTCAAGTAAGAATTCAGCTCGAGCCGCAGCCTTTCCTTCCACTGGGCACTAATTAAGCCTTTGTCAGCTCTTCAGCCACCTATTTTTACAGGGCTCCCAGAAATACACCACCTGTAAGGCCAATATTAATCTCAAATTAATTTACCATTACCTGGCAAAGTCAAAAAGTTAAGTGGGACAAAGAGCACAAACTCCAGCTCCTTGGACTTCAGATAAATACATGAGGCTCCTCAGCATTATCCAGTAAAACAAATATCTGTTTCCAGTAAATTTATAACCAAATCCAATTCGTGTTTTTATCTTTTAAAATGACTGTTTTATAAAATAATGCAGGACAAAAAGAGACACCGGTCTGAGCACAAAAGTCTACGTTTTTTCTATTGTTAAGGAAGCTGAAGAGACTCTACATTGCCAGTGCCCGTACTGTATATTAAATTAAAGTTTTGGAAGGGTCAGCTCAGGAGTAAAGAGGCCTTCTGAATACTTGGCTGCTTTACGGAACCTGCTGACAGAAGAATTCAAAGAATGTCAAGCAGCCAGATCTGTTAGTAGACACCAGTTTTAATTAAAACTGACTACTTAAATAAATGGCATTAAATTCATTGTCAGAATGAGACTTTCACCAAATTGTGATACTTTTTCCCCTGTGGTGTTTGGTGTGGTTTTCTGGTTTGGGTTTGTTGTTATTGTTGCTTGTTGTTTGGCTTAGTTCTCTCCCTCTCTCCCCTGCAGCCCTTAGGGCTTCTCTTTCTCAGAGCAGTATTATTTTGGGTATCTATGGCTAAAAAACTTTTGCAACCTTAAATAATGGTTAGACTCAAAATGCTTTTATTTCAACTCTGGGTTAAAGTTCTGCTCCTGTCATTTCCATTAAACCAAAAGCGGGCAGCATGGCAAGAACCAGTAAGCAAACACCACTGCATGCACTGCTGAGGCAAGAAAATAAGGATTGCAGAGCTGTAGCAAGACAAGAAAACAGCCAGAGCGACACACATCAAATATGTTAAGCACATCCAGATGAACACCTGCTAGTCCAGAATGCATTCAGTGACATAACATACAGACACTCACACGTCCACAACCAAGAAAACTACATGCACCATAGATACAGACTGGTAACGTGCTTACCAAACTGCCTTTTAAGGTCCTCCTTATGTTTCCACTTGGTTATTTCCTCTTCAGTTACCTCTTCCCGTGCCACACTGCTCAGTTCATATGCATCAATTTGATGCAATCTGGGCAACAAGTCTTTGACCCATTCGTAGCGAACAGGACACACCGTCCGCACATAGATTTTGGAAGTCACTGTAACATCATGGAAGATGATCCACTCAAGGCGAGTCTCCTTGTTATATAGCTGAAAAATTAAAATATTACTTCAGAAGTGATTTAAAAAATTGTTTCCAGAGCACCCTCCACTGGAATCTTTCCCAGTGCTTCACATGAAAGAATGAGATAAAACTGATATTACTGTAAATTTTCAGACAGGGAAACTGAGGCATAATGACTTGCTTAAAATTGTCCAGGAAATCCAAAGAGCCAGAGAGAAAGCTCAGTCTACATCAAACTTATTTCATAAGCCAAACATTCACCAAATTTGAAGTGAGGCTCTCCTCTACTCACAAAATGAACACTGCAACAGTGCTTTCTCCTGGACATGTATTAGCACAAATCAAACAGAAGAGTTTATAGGCATCTGCCTCTTATTCCTTTTAACGATTCTTTGCAACTTCATTAGCAGAATTTGATAACTTACTGTAGATGAAGGATGGATATAGACTATGCTGCCATGTCCGTCCATTGTACAGAATGTCCTGGCTGCAGATCTGAAAGGTTTGTGGGGAAAAATAAAAGAAAACTCTATACAATGAAACACACTTTGCTGTGATTAGACAGCAACACTAAGTAAATCAGCAGCAGCACAGAAGAAAATTCTCAAGTATATAAACAGGGGAAGATCCTTCCAAAATCAAATTATAAAAACACAACGAAGACTAAAATATGTCTAATTTACCACAGTAACACTGCAGATATAACACCACAATAAAAAAAAAACAGGGTTTGTAATTGAAGTCTTTGACAGCTGCAATCATTGGACATTTCCAAGCCCTTTAGTTTATATCTGGAAGTACTCACTGCCTTGCAAGTTCATTTCACAGACAGAAAAGCTACTATTCCAGGGATGTACGCAACTTCCCCAGGGATGTAATGAGAGTCAAATGCAGAGAACCCACCAGACTTCCAGCCCCATACAGAAACACCACCTTTAGCTGCATTTGCTACTTTTAACAATATACAGCCTTACTAGTCTGTTTTAATATGCAGCTCCACCTTTAAAATCATATGCGTAATACCTTTTCCATTCAATTCTCCAAACTTCCTTACTTACCTCCTTGCCACATTGATAAAGTATCCTGCACACAGACACCTTCTCAGTATTTCAGTTCTGGAGCCTTCAAATGTCTCTTTAGGGAAGTCTGGCAGCTACATAAAGACAAAACAACATGGATCAGGATCCTGCCTAAATAAGAAAACAGCTATATTCCTTTCATCCCATTGATTTTAAACTCTGGGTTTCTCACCCTACAGAAACCATGAGAAAGGAGGAAAATGATCCTTCTTGCTTGTTACCATCATACCTGTTAGTTACACAAGCTACAGAGAGGATACTCTAATAAATGTAAGTGGATTAGTTTCTACTGGAGAAAAGCAGCAGCCATCTGGCAAAGGCTCAGTAGTCCAGTACATGTCTTAAATATAAACTTACATAACTCAATCATATATAAAAATAGTATTTTTTTACCTGTTTCAGTTTTATGATTATTTCTCGAAGTTGTTTTTCCACACTAAAAGCAGATTTTAAAGCCCTCCAATGGATCCAGTATTTCTGGCACCAGGCTGAAGGAGACTTGCTGAGAACAGAAATACTTGCATTATAAAGAAGCCATTTGTAAGCTGCAGGCAGAAAGTTGCCTCTGAATTTTTTTATGGTCATACAAAGAAGGCAATCTACACAGCCAGATACTTTGTTAGTTGAAATAACAGGTGTCTTGATAGAAATTACAGATCACAGTAAGAAATCAATCCACAATTAGGCACGAGTACATACATGAACATATACACATTATATTTACAGCAAGGTATGAACAATAAAAACACCACTTACTGTAAGAAATAATTTTATACCTTGCTTTGCACTGTTCAAAAATATTTAAGAGAGTTGCAAAGTCATTGCATCCTCCTACTTGTGAGGAAAGTTCTTGATGTTGAAGCTCAGCCTCCTTTTGTTTCTGAGGATCACCTGAGGAAACAAGTTTTATCTCACTTTAACAGTCATTTTTATTTATCACTTCTACTTCATTTTCTGTTACCATCTCTCCAAAGTGTGTTTGACAGCCTTGGCTCTTTATTTTTAGATTTGTCTCTCCTCCACAGCTGCATTTACATTTCTTCGTCCTCCCACTATTTCTGAACAAGAAAGGTAGATGCTATTAGATCTGTGATTAATCTCATCAGTCAGCACTAGAGATGAATTCTAGTCTCTCAGAAAGAAAGGTTCTATGTATCACTCTCTCAAAATTTATTCACATGCCGATATGGCGAGATAAAGGAACAGCAACCTCAAACAAACAGGTCACAAGGATCAAGTTAAAGTTTTGCCCCAAGAGAAAAAACAAGCCATTGCAACCATCCCATCACAGCACCATCGAATCTGTTTAACTCAGCTTTTGTCCTTGTACTCAAGTGCCATAACAATGGAGGTCTTAAAATAAATAAGAGTCTAGAAAAAATGTGATCTGTGAGTTTAGTGGGAATTCGCCTTCACTAAATGCTAGGAATGTACTAGGCAAAAGCAACATTTCCAAAGTGTTGTTTTAAGTTTTAAATACCCAAAGAATTTCTTCTCCAGCCCAAATTATTCCCCTTAGTAGAGAGGGATACAGCTGCAAAGGCCAACACATTGCACTGCCGCTGTACTGCAGACGATGTCAAAGTTTGTGGCAGTACAAGTAACACTGATGAAGGAAGGAGGGCTGTTCACATACATATTGCCCATAAGCAAGTGTCTTCATGGCCGGAGGCTCCGTTTTGTGTCCTAATGCACCGGGTTGGTGGAGAGTAACGAACACACATACGTTAGCTGGCTGAACAGATAAGGGCATATTGCCAGATGGAGGATGGGGAAGCAAAAGCACATTTATGGGCATGGGAAAGACCCCAGGGCAGAATCCAGGTTATCTGTACTGTCAGCAGTGTCTTTAGCTGTTGCACTAACGGGCACGGTTAATAGACTACAGAGATAACTGGACCAGAGCCAATGAGTGACTAGAAAGGACAAAGGTCTCCCACAAAGACTGTGCTACATGTAAAGACTATGTAGCACAGTGTGGGGTACTGGTTGGGGCCAGACTGGAGGGCAAAGGAGATAGGAAGGAGGACATGGGAGACTGCATTTAGCACTAGTGAGAGGTATTAGCTTGGAACCACAGCAAAATCACATTTTGCATTTAGAAAACCACTGGAAATGGAGGCAGTGAAAAGCTGAGCTTCTCACAGTAACTTCAAAGGTCTATTTGGTTAAAGAGAGCTATTGAACAAGAAAGCCAATCCTGAGGCAACCCCATTCCTTAAAAACAAATTAATCAGTCCCTGTTGTCTGTACTTAGACCAACAGCAAAACATCTGCTGTGGTTTTCTGGTGGTTGGTTTTTGTTTTGTTTTGTTTTTTTTCCCCTCCTGTAACACAGTTTTTCCCTTTTATTGCTGACCTCTCAGCAATCCACTCACCCATGCACTGCTTTACAGCTTGCAGCCTTGGGACAAATGCAAGCCAATTCCATGCTATTTTGAAGTCTTTGGAACAGCTGTTATCCAGTTCCTAGTGTGCAATGTGCTCTGACTCCAAGACCACAAAAAGCTGTAAACACTAACAAGCAAAGCGCCATTGTGTGTTTGTCCTAGTCTTAACATTCTTCCCTACAGATCTGCTATGATGCACTCTGGGAGACAAAGCACTGCACTTGTGGAATCTTCCCTGAACTGCAACATAAGGGTTATTTAAAGCATTAAAGTGCTACCGTTTTTCAAAATATGGCATCAATTCTCACTTTATGACCTTGATATGCACCTGTAAGATACTGCGGCCACACAAACCAATAGCACAGAAAATTACTGACAAACCCCTCCCCCCTTTCCCCCAGAGGGAAGCCACAAAAAAGTCTCCAGGTGAAGCAGTGTGTGCTTCCTAACCATTGCCCGAGATATCCCTGTCCGAGCAGAATTCCCCACCCACCCAAGGCTGCTTTGGGATAAACAGCTTCCTACCTGGACGAATGAAGACATTTTCCACAGACAACATAGCTGCTATGGGAAGCAGCAGATCCTCACAGTCAAGAGCAGCAGCTTTTATGACAGCACAGGTCAGGTTGGGAGGAAGGGGAAACTGCACCAGGAATTCACCCAGTCTTGTCACATGGCCTCTCCTTATCCCAGGAAAAAGATTCAAATACCAGATTCAACAAAACTATGTTTAAATGTAAATCAGAACATGCACACGCAACATCAGCCACCAAACACTGATAAAGAACATGAAAGAAGCATTTCCCTCTGGACTGTTCTGACACTGCAGTCTGTGTGTGCCCAGATAGGTGCTGGAGACACGCAGCAAGTGTCACTAGCAGAAGAAGGTTTCACCTTTCTCCAGTTTGCTTATGTCTGCTTCATGGCAGGCAAAGGCAGCTTTAAGTGTATCAGGTGCTTAAGATCTTTTTGGGTGGACTTTCTGGGTTTGTTTGGCTTTTTTTTTGTAAGAAGAATTCCTGGAAACTTCGGATAAGATCTCGCTTCCTGCCTTGAGGTCTTGGATAGGTCACACAGTTAGTGCCTAAGCACTTTCGTCACAACAGCCTGGGATCTGCTGTCAGGAACTACAGCTCAGAGAGTAGAGGTAATTTGTCTGGGGTCATTCAGGAACTCCAGGACAATGAAAGATATGGATTAATTTCTCCACAACTCCTAAGCCATGCTCTAAGCCTAATTTTACAGAGAGTATATTAAAACCTAGTAGCTAACTTCCTGGTGTAACGAGGAAACATATTCTACTGCTGGGGGAAGTCCTTTAGTCTACACAAATAACTCCCTAACAGCAGTTAAACCATTAGATTTTAAATTCTAGTAGGAACTACACCTCTTTATTTTTTACCTGTCAATAGCACCACACTGGTAAAGTTCCTTGAGAGCTTCTAAAATATGCCTTTCTTCAGGGCGGTCCAAATAAGGAAATCTATGATAAAAAAAAAGTTTAAAAATCTCACTGTCCAGGCTCACTATGTAGCTTTGTTAATTTTCACACTTAGTCAAGTATTTTTGTAACCTTCCAATACAGGTTTCTGACCAAAGAGCACATAGGAACCTTCAGTATATGGGTCTGGTACTACATGTACAGCCTCAAGCTTATGAATTATGATGACAAATCCTAGCACAGCATGTGCAAAGATGAACTGTATTTTCTGCATATGTATGAGCCTAAAATTAAACAATTCCAGAGAGACGAAGCTTTTGCCATATAAACATCAGCGTTTTAAAGGAACACTTTTAACTATTTAATTTTGGAGAGAAGGAGCTAGCTTTGGCAGTACCTCAAACCAAACTTGAGCTCAAGATCCAATCTGGCATTAAAGACTGAGGAGAACAGCAGCAAAGCTGATTGTATCGAAGTGTCACAGTTGGCCAGGGACCTAATCCCGTCTCCTGCCAAGAGCCTGTGGGTGCCTGTGTCGCCTCGCTGCCGACACTCAGGAAGAAAACGATAATCCCTCCGCTCCATGAAGGTTACCTTACAACATCATGCACGGAAAGGCACTTCAAGGTCAGGATCACAGATGTCAGACTGGTTCTCTTGATCTCTGGGACCGTGTGATCGGGCATGCATTGCTCCCAGAATTCTTTGCTGTACAGCCGATAGCTTTTTCCAGATGATGTCCTGCCAGCTCGGCCAGCTCGTTGCTTTCCTTCACTCCTTCCAAAGTAGAAAAGCAGAGGAGGGAAAAAAAAAAATCCAAACTCTTGATCCTTTCTGTTATTAGCCAAAGAAGCACACCGTAATTATAATAAATAATAGCAATTTCTGTGCTTGTAGATGGAAGATATATTATACTGTGCAGCAACTGAGAAATCCAACTATACAAGAACTAGCAGAATGAAGAAGCATTTCTGGGCAAGGGAAGGATTTTTTTTAAACTTCTCTGAATCAGACTGTTATATCTGGCAAATACAAGATGACACGTGAGCCACTGTTCAGATCATAGACAATGCATTGTCAATTCCTTCTTAATGCCTGTAACTTCAAGGAAATTATATGTCCTGAACCACTTTCTATCTAGCAGCAAACATAATGGCTTTAAATTATAAAGACTCAAAGGTGTCCCCTGCCTCCTTTTTTTTTTAAATAAGGTCAACCAATAGTCAGTATTGTCAGAGCAACTCCCAGAAACTCCAAGTACAATACTTTTAAAACTTACTTTGAAATGGGAACCACCTCCAGTATGTCCAAGCCAACTCGAGGATTATGATTCAACTGCTTCACAAATCCACTGTCTACTACATATCTGAAAAAGATTCATACTCTGTCAGAGAGGAAAACAACAGAGGTCTCAGTAGACAGACAGGCAACTGCCACATGCGTATCATCAAAGCAAGAACACATTTACCCTACAGTTGCTGCAAACAGGTAGCTGCACTTTGCTCATCAGCTGCAGCCCTGCAATGGTTCAGCCTACAGGATGTTGCAGATAATACCTCCCAGCACCCAAGGAGGTTAATGGAGCTTAAATTTTATTTCAAATTAAGGTCCAACAATATTAGTAATCTGTAAAAATATATAATAGTATCAAGGGGGGGTTTTATTCATTACATACAAAAAAAAGGCAACAGGTAATTATTGGGCAGGTACAGTAGTGGAAGGAAGTCAGAAGCATTCTTCAGAATCTAGTAAAACTGAATTATTC